TCGAAGTAGTTGTGTTAAAATTTCTTGCTATTATCGCCGGTGAAATTACAGGCACATATTGGTCTTGTCAACTTATGCCTCATGGTGACAGGCGCAGTGGCAGTGTCGTCTTTTGAGTTTTCTCAATTCCACAATTTTGAGTTACTACATCATATGGTTTCAAGTACGACGTATTGAAATCTTGAATTGACATAACGATATTTCTAAGACAAACCGAGACGTATGAATTACAGGGCGACGGCGGCGGCGGCGCAGGCGCAGTGCAACCTGACGCGTGGGTGGATGTCGCAACTGTTCCAGATACACGACACCAGCCGGTGTTAGTATTCGCCGATTTGTCAGGGTTGCATAGCATATCTGACAGTCTTTTAATAAAAGATTTTTGTACTAAATATATTTTTAAAGGCTTTTGTACATTTTTCTGAGAATTTGTTGATTTTAAGATAGCCTGCTATTCAAGAAAGATTTTTAAGGTAGATCTGCAAAAGGCCCGAAATGTCGGTTCGTTTGAAAAAATTAATATACACGATTTAGATCAGAAAAAACAGTTTTATATCCAATATTTTTTTTATAATATCAAGTAACGGGACAAACAAGACGTGCGCGATGGTGAGTTAAACTCCTGTCCATAACAGTTGCAGTACCACTCAAACCTTTAAATCGCAAAGATATAAGGGGCACTGCCACTGCGCCTGTCACCCTGAAACATAAGTTGACAAGACCCATGTGATTGTAATTTTACCAGCACAAAACTCACATTACTGCTTGGCGGCAGAAATAGGTAAGGTGGCAGTACCTACTTTCCTGGACGAACTTTTTCACAAGGAGCTCTACTGCTACTATATAAGGTACAAATTAAAAAAAACCAGCATCATCACCAATATTAAACAAACAATTATAATGACTTTTAGATTTGGTAAATTTTTGACGACCTCGATGGTCGAATGGCTTGCACACCGATTTTCATGATGTCGGTCTCTGAGGTCTCATTTTCGATCCCCGGCCTGGTCAATGCAGAAATTTTTCTACCGTCGTTCTTTCCGATTTCATCAGATCAGATGTCATATACTCCATGGATCAGAACAACGTATGTTATGTTGTCGAATATTTATTTATTTACTCGTATGTTGGTGACAACCCTAAGGTTGCGCGTGGGAATAGCAGTTACGCGACAACATATCGATTCATCCATTGAACGTTCACTACTCGTTTCCAACTTGCTCGGTTGATGGTTTATTTTGTTTGCAAGCTATTGTGTTTATGTTGTATGATGGAGAGCTGATGGATTAAGATCGGTAAGACATTATACTGCGGCGTAAGTTTTATGCAGGGCGTCTTAGCACCGTGTGTATGCAGGGTTATTAATAAAATTGCACCTCACAGAACTACGAGCATATCACTAATATCATAAACAACAACTGTTGTTCGATGAGTGGCTTGCATAACGGTTTTCATGTTGTCGCCATCTCTGAGGTCCTGGGTTCGATCCCCGGCCGGATCAGTGCAGAAACTAACTTTTCTACAGTCTCATATCTGGGTGTTCGTGGCACCGTAGTTGTTTCCGATTTCCATAACACAAGTGCTTTAGCTACTTAGATTGGGATCAGAGTGACGTATGTGATGTTGTCTAATATCTATTTATTTATTATCAGATTTGACCTTCGTACACAATATAGATCACTCTAAAACAGGGTTGTTGCGAATATCAGCACCGCATCCACATCCGCAGATAATCTGCATAAATAAAATATCCGTATCTGCATTCATCGATGCTGATATTCATTGCAGATGTCCGAGTCGTGACATCGCCTAAAGGACACTCTGGAATAATTTACAAACCTTCCAGAAAAAAACTGTAGAGGCTCAATTTATATTGCGGCGGAATGGAAGCGTATTTTTGTAACGATATTGTACATACAAATTGTGCATGCGCGAGAATTCCGTGGAAGATTTGGGCTCGTATATAGTTTGTACGTCACACAATTAACCATAGTTTCATTATGCTATGTAGGTACAATATCGTTACAAAAATTCGCTTACATTCCGCTCCACCACAATATAAATTGAGCCTTAGACGAAGGCTAATGCTGTTGGAATGGAATGCTGTTGTTTTTAAAAAATAGCTTTGATAAAATTTCACAATGATTAAGCTAGCCAGATTGATTGTTTTCTTGAAGAGTAACTCTTATGTTAATAAATGTCATAAAATCATTGAAATAATGTTTTATTGCAATACCAAAGAAAATAGAAAGCTTTTTCATGTCTTTCTTGACACATAAAATCAGCATTGGCTAGCATCTGCTGATGTGTAAAAAACCTGACTCGGCAACAACCCTGCTCTAAACGGCGATAACAAAAGATTGGCTAGCGCTAACGTATACACCAGTCGGATGCAAATCGCATGAGCGACGATGGGGGTCGTCGGAAAAGACGTTTGCACGTTTGAACTTTACTACATTGCTATCAAACATAAATCTAAAAAATGTCAGATAGTACAACAAAAGCTCAAGTTAATTTTTGGTAAATTTATTTATTGTTAAAAACAAAAGTTGTTCTTTGTGATGTTAGTAATATAGTTTTTTTATATATCACCAAGTGACAGGACGAACAAGTCGAGCGCCTGGTGGTAAATGACAAGCCCACCCATGACACTTGCAATGCCACTCAGAATTTTAAATCGCAAAGATCAGAGGGGTACTGCCACTGCGCCCGTCATCCTGAGACATATGAGTTAACAAATTCCATGTGCCGGTAATTTCACCAACACCCTTCAAAACCGAAACAGGTATGGTGGCAGTATTTCCCTGGAGGAACTCTTTCAAAGGGAGTTTCACTGCTAACTGCTAATAAAAACTACAGAGTGTTCACTATTACACTACGTAATTTGTGTTGTTTATTGCATTATGTATTATTCATCCACAAAGCAGTAAGTACTTTAATTAAAGATAAAAAGTTTTATTGTACACGTTGCAATATTTTCAAGTGATTGCAACAAGAATGCTATCAGAGTTATCGTTTATCACTTATCAATCTGATTATTTCGATAACTATCAATAATCCGCTTGCTAGTCAGATTAAATTAAATATAGGTTAACTACAAATGGCTTTTATGTATTATTTATTTAAAAATATAATATATTGTGTACATCGCATAAGGAAATACACCTTGGTTTGTAGTTATGCACCGTTACGAATAATTTCCTGTTGTATAAACACAAAAATTTTGAGTTAACATTAATATTTCACAAATTTAGTACACTTAATAATAGCAACGTAATATAATTACAACTTTAAAAAAAATCTTTTTGTCACGTTTTATTGAAACGGTTAACACAAAGTTGTTGACATTCATTAAAACCGATTCATGTCCTAACTTGCCACCAAGTGGAATAATTCCTTCCAATTTTAATAGAACCACTACTGAGGTACCTCCTTTCCAACAAAAAAGGAATCATCGAAATCTATTCACAACTATTGGGGTAATCGCTACAAAAAAATACAGTCGAATTGAGAGCCTCCCTTTTTTAAAGTCGGTTAAAAATGCCTGACAGCCACACCAAATACCTACTGTTAAATTAGAGAATTCGCCGTACATTGAGTGCTAGAGCAATGGAATTTACACCGAAGCACTCCTCGGAATACCCAGACCAGCAACAATTTAAAAGAGTTCGTCTTCAAGGACTGAGGTATTGCGGACGTGAAAGACGTCCCGGAGCCTCCCGAAAGCTGCCCGAAACTGAGTCGGATTCGACTGACCTTTCTCGAAGTTGGCTCTGCCTAATTGGACGGCTTGTCCGAGGTAGACATACTCGTCAACAACTTCGAGAGTAGAGGTTCCCACTGTTATAGGGCATGGAAATTCGACATAAGTTTCGTCTTGTCCATTATCTTATATAAATAATATATATATATATATATATATATACTAAACACACTTAATACAGAAGAAAAGAATGACATTGAAATAAAAAAGTCTTCCAGGGACAAAATTTAATACAACATCTTATCGAGGACCACGCCCTGGGCCATCGTGTCAAGGATGCTAGCAAAGTAGCTCCCAACCTTTTGATCTCCTAGAGCTTCAATGAGGCAAACCGATAGTTCCTTAGCGAGGCATTACACCTGTAGCCCCCAGGGCTTCAGTCTTCATCGCACAAGACACAAAGCAGCAGCACTGCGGTTACTTAATATTTTAAAAGGTACTAAAAACATTATAGTGTTTTTATACTATAATTCTTTGTAAACTATAGTACAACTTGTTTAACAGGTTCGAATTGGTTTGATAGGTTTCAATAAGAAAAATAATACGATAAGCATCTAATTTGTCCTATAATTTTTAAAGGCGCATGGTTAGCAATCGGTTTAACAGTACCCGAATGTGAAACAGTGTTGTAATCCCTTAAGAACAAAGTATTCTTATAAGTTAGTTTCCATTATGGGTGGCAAGAAGACTTCTATGCGGAAAGTGTTTTATTTTTGCGAGGGAATTGCACGACTTAATTCCGCCTTCCCCTTTCCATCATCGGCGGACTAGACGTAGGCTGGGGTTATACCCCTATGTTGTGGATATTCCAAAGATTCGTACGAAGCGTTGCGCTTCCATATTTATATGGCTATTAAGTGGAATTCTCTGCCTAAGAGACTGAGTTCCCTGAACGATATAACTTAGGCCTTTTCAAGGCGAGAGTGAATAGACATAATTTAGGTGTGCATGCTCCGTGTGCATTCCATCAAGTGAGATCAAGGTCAAAAAAGGCATTTATTGTAATCATTTGGTAGGTATGTTGTACATTTAATTTTTTTCAGTACATAACATGAACATTATCATTAATTATTAAATTAAAAAATTATAAAATGTACAACACCATTCTTTCTTCTTAAAAAAATATTTACTAATTTACTTTATTTACTGCGTTCATATTAGATACGACTTACAATAGTATAAAGCGATTGTGCAAATAGCGTGATTACCGATAATTGATTACGAATAAGATACCAACCTGATAGTACCAATCGAAAAAATTGGCACAAAATCCAAGAACAATTTCAACTTCACACTTTATAAAACACGAAAGAAGAGAAAAAATAACTAAACGCAGAATATAATTAATTAAAACTTCTTTTTTTAAAACACTTTAAACACAGGCTCAGCTACAAGACATTCACTTTCGCTATCAACAGTCGACTTATCAGTACGCCGTATCTACTCTGTTGACTCAAATGCCTATACAAACAAAATGTAAGCAATGTAGTAGGTACGTTTTTTACCAATTTCTCTTTCTACAAGTGTGGTTTACACGGCTGTTAGTTTGACACTAAGCAAACGGCGTTGACGCAATGTAGAAGCGTAGGTAGGCGTTCGATAAGCCAAATTTGCAAATTCGTTGTTACATTGCACCGCTATCTTATAACGGTTTTTGATTAACTGATGCGTAATGTGATTTATTAACATTAGTCATATTTAGATTTCTATATACATGTAAATAAGTACATCTTCCGACGGGTATTTATAACGCTCCGGACATAATCTCTCTCGCTTCCTCCGTATTACATGTATGCCGAGAATTATATCGGAGTTTGCGGTTGGCAATAAGAGCTCGCATAGCTAACCGAAGGAAAGGAAATAAGGTGCAATTTTGAACACCTCAATTAGGAAATGGCCGAAAGCTAGTAGCAGTAGAGCTCCTTATGAAAGAATTCGTCCAGAGAAATAGTATTATTTAAAAGTAGTAAGCGTAATCTTTAAAGAAAGTTCGGTATAGGACAAATTCTGGATTCGACAGACTTGTGTGCCTGGGTTAGTGCCTACGTTCTGGTTACTGGAAGATGTACGCGACTGTCTAAAAATCTTGGATCCAGTTTATAGGATTGATTTTTATATTAAAAGCTGTGAGCAAAAGAATGTGTCACGATTGAAGCATGCATAGATTCATGTACTGAGATAGCTGCAATGGACCACCATCCGTTACGTTCCTGGCACACGTTTTTATTTTCTCCAATCACCAATTTGCTGTCTACATGTTAAAGACGGAGTCTCGGAAACGAAAGCTAGCTCCTCAATACGGGTGTAGAAAAAGCAACAGAAAAGTTTGTTTCTAAAAAATATGTCGTCAAATGTGATTTCCGGCAGCGCTCGCTGCAAGCAAAAGAAATGTGCCAGAATCGAAGCAATTGGATATCCATGAACTTTGTTTATAGTACCAAAAGACAGCGGGCGTGATGAATATAAGCATATAGGCAAAGACTGGCCCTCCACCAGCCACACTTTTCTTTGCCATACTCATTAGTCAGAAGCTACATTTTTCTTTGCCATAGGATGGCAAAGAAAAATGAAAGAAAAATGTAGGAAGGATGAAAAAGAAAAATGTAGGAAGGATGAAAGCGCTTCGTGCGCAGTGCTGGCGCAAAAGAGCCTAAGAGTTTGTCGCTCGCAGCGCAGTGCAACGGATATCAACGGTCTAATTACTTCCCAACAACAATTATAATTTCACCATTTGCACCCGAATTTCCAATCACTGGGGAAAATACAATTGTAAGTATAACATTTTGATCGCGTGCCTACTGGAAGGCGCCAGGGTATTGATTTCACCTAGGATTTACCATGCGCTTTTTGGGTCTCCCACGTAATTGCGAATGACGATTGGGCGAAGACGGTTGCGCGAAAGCTATAACGCGCGACGGCTTATTTTCACGAATGGTCAGTTGCGTGAAAGTTTAAAAGCGCGATGGTTCATTTGCGCGAATGACGACAGCACGAAGACAGATTTGCGAAAGCTGGAATGCGCGAATGGTTAGTCCTACGATGGTTCACTGTCTTCTCACCATCGGCATTCGCAATCACGCGGGAGATCCAAAAACATGGGCTAGCGCCGGCGCCATTCGCGCGAATGGGTATTGCATATGGATGGTGAGTCACAATTTTCTAGTAGATCGCAAGAACGGTGAGAATGGAATTAAATTATAAGGTTCCTTTCCCACCTGATCAAAACATCGAAGCTTTACCTATGTTCTTAATTTAGTTTTTTGTTTAGAAAACTATATTAAAGATCCATTTGCAGTGTTGTTTAACACATTGCGAAACCTGCACTACAACACAAAGCGTGCTAACGGTTTTATTTTGTTTTTCCGTCTCAGTACTGCCACTTAAACCACTGCTTAATTAGTGAAATAGTGGAAAGAATATCAACGCTACGGGTATGTATTGAACCTTATGAGATTACCCAGCAGAAAGAAAATCATATCGTGTAACGTGACTGGTTAAGCTTTAATCTTTTCGTAGTGCATTGCGATAACTGATAACTGTCACCGGCACTAGAAACGGTTTTCATACATAGAACTTAAGGTTAAGAAATTAACCAATCAGAAAAATAGGCAGTCGGTAACACCAGAGATGACAACAGGAAAACGGAATTTGGAGAGGGGAATCTAGCACTAAACACTGTTCTTAATCCAGTACTATTAATTTTGATTGCAATCTCTATTTGTTACGCTTTTTATTACCACTTTAACAGAGGACGTAATCTCTTGCTTCCTTTTCTAGACTAGCTGTAATTTTCTTGGCTAGGTAATAAAAAATGTTTTGAAATCGGCGCAAGTTAGTTTGTGCGACTGTGCATCCACCGGTGCATGCAACTTTTAACCTAGTTTTTTTTACAATTCACCGTCATTACAGTCATTAGTTCCACTTGCTTTTTTATAATACTTGTGCGTAAAATGTAGCAAGATTTCAAAAGTACAAAACATTTTTTCCGTCCACTTTTAAAGGCGCCAGACTTTTAAACCAATCCCAAGCAACCATTTCTTTGTGAAAAGTCCTTATCCTAGGTCCCATCTATCTCTATACCAATTCAATTTTAATTTTCAAATTCTTTATTAACAATGCATTACTTACACAGTAATTCATTCAAACGTGACTTAATTATGTTTTATCAGGCTAAAAACACCTACAAAAACTTACAAGCACTGGATAAATTTGGACTAACTCATTAAAACGGGTATACATTTAGGGTTCTTGGTCTTATTACGCGAGATTATTGTAAGAAAAGTCTGCACTTCCAGAGAAGTACTGCCACCTTTAGTGTTAGGTAGGACATGAAATTAAAATGAGTTTGAGGGAGTACCTCAGTTGAAAAAATGAGGCGGTACAATGTCCTACTTCAAATAACCTACCTCACCGGTAGCGGTAAGGATGTTTGCACCTTAGGCAATGACTCAACAGAAAGGGAATATTAAGCACATTTTCATAACTAGATGGTATAGTGTTATGATATAGTATAAATAAATGGTAATTTTATTTAGTACTACAGTAGTATGATCATTAGACAGGGTTATTAAGCCCATTTTAAGCACAATTGGGTAGCTTAAGTGTTATGATGTATGCTAATTTTATTTAGCACTGGTAGTATGATCATATGGTGTAAAATCAGCTAAAAAGCGGGCAGTGCTGGATCAATCATTTGCTGAATTCGAAGCAGTGTGACTTGAGTGAGGCTATAACATGATGATGATGACAGATGAGGTGTGAGGTGAGACATTTTCATGACATGAGGTGTTGTGACAAACTAACCAAACGAGAGGTACAAACGAGTTACCTCGTGTTTGAGTAACACAACACTAGCCACCTTACCTATTTCTGCCGCCAAGCAGTCATGTTAGCGCACTGTGTTCCGGTTTTGAAGGGTAAGGGTGCTGATGAAATACAAGCACATGAGACTTGCCAACATGTTGTGTTGTTGTCTCAGGATGTCGGGCGCAGTGGTAGTGCCCCTCAGATCTTTACGATTCAATGCTCTGGATGGCACTGCAACTGTTATGGACAGAGGAATAAGAGGACTTACCATCAGGTGCACGACTTGTTCGTCCCGTCACTTGATAGTATAAAAAAGCTACGGGGCATATAATTATCTCTATACCAAAATTCATCAAAATTGGTTCAGCGGTTTAAGCGTAAAAACGTAATAGACAGTTACTTTGACATTTATAATATTAGTTAGGATTTCCTTTATTTTCACTTAAATATCGTAAACATTTGGTTGGAAATTGCACTTTACGTGAACAACGCCGTGGGAAAAAGAAACAATTTATACAGCCTAAATTATGTCCAAACGTTAAATTTATTAGCGTGTCTAGGCAAGTAATTATTATAATTGTTTGTCACACTTATATTTAATCAAGGCATAAATAACTATTTACACTCCTGCGCAATGCAATCGAGTCTGCCCACTTGTCGTTCGTCAGACTTCGTTGCGTAACGAGGAGGTACAATGCGTGGCGAAACCTAAGCCCACCGCACGCCTTCGACTATTGAACCGAGCTTATATGACAGTGGTATCAACCCACTGCTGAACATGAGTTCCCAGTAAAAGAGAAGTCGACTCTTGCTGCCGTTACAGTAAGCTAAGTTAATCACACTTAAATTAAAATTCAATAACTTTTTTATACAAAAAACCGACCTCAAAAGTTCGTGGTATTACATCTATTTGCCAAGTTTTATTGAAATCGGTTACCGGAAAGCGCGAAACCGGATTCGTCCCTAAGTTTGCCACCCTTAGAGGTGGAATATTTTCTTCAAATTTAAATGGAACCAATATAATACTGTATAATAATATAATAATACTGAGGTACCCTCTTTCCAACAAGAAACCACTCACCAAAATCGGTTCGCAAATGTCGGAGTAATAGCGTAACATCTCCTCCTTTTTTGAAGTCGGTTTAAAACAACTGGTGGAGAAAATTTAATGAGCCCAAATACGATAGCTGGTGAAATGACCGGCGCGATGGATTTGGCAACGTATGTCTCAGGGTGACAGGTGCAGCGGCAGTGTCCCTCAGACTTTTGCGATTTAAAACTCTGAGTGGCACCACAACTGTTATGGACAGGCGTGTCGCTTACCACCTGGCGCACGACGTGTACATTCCATCACTTGATATCATAAAAAAAAGATTAAAATTCGATATACCTTATTCTCGGGTGGTTTTGGTTCAACAAGGAATAATGTATACAAAGCACATGATGATGTGT